CCTGTTAGTATTCATCTTAAAGATAGAGGCATGGATATTGACCCAATGTGTAGCTGCTGTGGGGAGGAGATTGAAACAACAGAACACATTTTCTTTAACTGCATCAGAGCACAGAGAGTATGGAAAATGGCCCCAATTCACTGGGATGGCCTCACTGAAGATGCTAAGTGTTTCAGAAGATGGTGGTGGGTGATCTGCACCTTGGATAAGTCTCAGATCTCTCAAGACAGAATTCAACTAACCACATACATTTTATGGTGGTTATGGAAATCAAGGAATCTTTGGAAGTTTAAAAATAATTGGGTCCCTGAAAAGGAGGTGGTGAAGTTGGCAGTGAATGATTGGAGAGAATTTTCTGCTGTTCAGGCCTTGTAGTTTTTTTTGCTTTCCAACTGGTTGATGGCTAGGTCCTTTGCAGGTTCAGTGGTGATTTGCCCTTGGTTAGTCTTTGTCTTCTTTATCTGGTTCTGGTTGCTGTTGGTTGGCTAGTCCTTGCAGTTCAGCTGAAGGTTCCAGCTTTTTTATAGCTGCCTTTGGTCTGAGGGTGTGTTGCTGGTTGCTTTGTTGGGTTTTTCTTGTGTATTTTCCTTGCTCTTTCTTGTGGGAGGGTCTGTTTTCTGCTGTGGGTTCTTTAGCCCTTGTCTTTGTTGTATTTTCTTTCCTTTTGGTTGTTCTGGTGCAGTGTAGTTTTGGGTAGGTTTTTAGTTCTCTTGTTAGTTTGTTAGCTTTGTGTTGTGTTGGTTTAGGGCATCCTTGTATGGCCCTCTGGGAATTGCTGTAATTATGTATCTGTACTCTGTTTCCTTTGCTATTTTAACTAGTACGTACCCCGTGCGATGCACGAGACAGAAATATTAAATAAATTATTTTCACATATTTTGTCGGTTTAAGTATATATAGTAATAGTATTATCATCTATTTTTCATCTCTTTTAATCAGCGTTAAGTATAATAAACAATAAGGTTATAATATATTTTGCACCTCTTTCAAAAAACGTTATTTTTTTAGTCAAAATATTAAAATAATTAATATATTATTTCACTAAGATATAATATATATTTATTCCTCGATATAAGAGAGAATAACAATTTTACTTATTTTTTTTCACTATAATACTTAATTATTATTTTATTATACACTTTTTGTCATATAATATCATTATTATTTATAAAATTATAGAAGTTGTACGTCTTCTTTTTATTTTTATTTTAGATAATGAAAAATATTTAATGCACGTTTGTATTATTTATTTATGTAATCGATGTAAAATATGTAAATAAATTTAATATTAAATAGTGTATAAATATTTTACAAAATATACACATATTTTTTTAGAATTTAATTTTGTATACTAATTAAAAAATTTTGATTTAGAAAATGCCAAAAACTCGATCACTCTATGATCAAGATTTTTCTAATTCGCATTATAAGGATTTATGGTTTATTTATCATACTCAGCAATGAAAATAAATTTTACAATAATTTAATTATAGAAATAAATCAAAATAAAAAAATGAAAAAAATATAATCATGAGTGCCAATAATATACAAATAAATTCTAAACAATAGTTAATATGTTTCAATTTTAACTTTTTACCATTAGTAAAACTATAATGTATCTGGCCATTATCTCTTAAATGATAAAATATATTAATTTGAAAAATGATTTATTTTTTATATTTAACAAAATAAAGCTTAAGAAACAAATATATTGACAAAGATTAATTCACCAACTTAATTTTGTCTCATTACTTGGAAATTCTACCTAATATGTTACGATTTTTCATAAATATTTTTGGATAAAAAGTGAATATTTGTAGAAAAAAAACAACAACTAATATTATGGTTAGAACTTAAAATATGGTTTAATGTTATCTTGACCAAAATATTACCAACATGGATCACAAAAACCAATCTTGTAATTTATTATAATGACTATCAATGTAAGTATTACAAATGTTAATAAAACAATATTTATCTTGACCAAAATATTATCAACATGAATCACGAAAATCAATCTTGTAATTTATTATAATAAATATCAATGAAATTACTGCATATATTAATAAATTTAATTAAGTAATTATTTGATCATATGGTATTTGATCTTATTTGAAAACGTGTAAATAGAATCAATTAATTCATAAATTATGTAATTGTACAGCCAATCAAGCCTTGAAATCCGAAATTTTGTTACACATTTTATTAGGAATTTGTGTGATTTGTTACTTTGATTTCGAAAATTTGTTAGCGGATTGTAGGGGACTTTGTTTGGAATGATTATTTTGTTACACATTTTATTAGGAATTTGTGTGATTTGTTACTTTGATTTTGAAAATTTGTTAGCGGATTGTAGGGGACTTTGTTTGGAATGATTATTTTGTTACACATTTTATTAGGAATTTGTGTGATTTGTTACTTTGATTTCAAAAATTTGTTAGCGGATTGTAGGGGACTTTGTTTGGAATGATTGGGAATTTGCTCAACAAATGACACCATAAATCCCGTTTTTGATTTTTTATTTTGTTAACACAAATCGGATATCCGATTGTCTTTCCCTAACTTATCTCATTTAATTTGTTCTATTTCACACGTCTTTTCCTATTTACTTAATTAATTCCTTTTTTTTTTACCTAAAATATCGAAAATTTGATAACAATATTCTACAACCTTCTTTCCCTAACTTATCTCATTTAATTGTTCTATTTCACACGTTTTTTCCTATTTACTTAATTAATTCCTTTTTTTTTACCTAAAATATCGAAAATTTGATAACAATATTCTACAACCTCGGTAACACGGTTAAACAATTGTCCTACTGATTTTTTGCCATCTTTTTTGCATCAAAATCTTATTTTAATTTGCCAACTAATCATTATTATAGGAAAGATAGCCGCATTGAATTGAAGGGATATTTCTAATAACATAAATCGGATATTATCCCTTAATAAGGGATATTATTCCTAATAACAATCGGATTTTCCATAACAATCGTTCTGTCAATATAAACTACTATATAAATACAGTCTTGACCAACAAATTCTACATCATACACATACACAAACCGCAATAAAACCTTTCTTTTGCGAATCTTTTTAACATCATCTCAACATGCCTTTGAATTTCGGAGTCATCAAGGATATCCACCGATCCAATAAGCCACCAATCAAGCTACGCATAATTCGGATGTTCCAACGAGTTGAAGACGTTCGCAATTACCGAAATGTTCTAGAGATTACATTTCATCATTCGGAGGTAACATGTTCACACATTCATAGTGTATTTTAATCTAAATTTTAACTTATTTTATTCTGTTTATTAAATGATTCAATAATACAATAATCCAATATGCATTGTTTTAGGGATTGCGAATTACTGGCATAATTCGACCTGTGAATATCCAAAAATTCATCGGCGATATTGAAGAAGGGGGTAAGTATGTCTTGACAAACTATCAAGTTGAAAGTAATATTGACATCTACAAATCGACTATAGGAAAATGGAGGATCATTATCCATGGCCAAACCAAGATTGTCAATTGGAAGGGGGATTTTCCTATGCATCGTTTTGAGTTTAGAAACTTTCTAACTTTGATGGATGTTCGTAAGATTGAAGAAGCCATGTTGTTTGGTACGTTAGATTTTTTGTTTATGTTTTAATTTGTAATTTTTTTAAATTAGATAAAATTCTGCAATATAATTTTTTTAAACTATATTCCTTTATATTTTGTATTTTTAATATAATGTTTTTTTAATACCTATGTAGATATCATTGGATTGGTTGTTTCAATACAACCGATCCAAATGAAGGTTATCAAGGGTGTTCCTACGCAAATGATAGTATTCTCTATCATGGACTTGGAGTAAGCATCTATATCCTTATTTTTTATTATTTTTTTAATCAATTGTTTATTATAGATTTTATTTTATTATTTTATTTTAAAAAAAAATTCGTTAAGACTTTTTTATGTATTTTACCTATTTTTTTAATCCTTATTTTATTTTTATAATTTTTTAAAATATATATCAATGTCCGATTTCGATTTTATGTTATAGTAGTTTGTGTCCACAATGTATAGGGGGAACGTAAAGGAATGCACTGTTTGGGGGCGTTATGTTGATCAATTGGTTGCTTTGGAGCATCATTATGAAAATGAAGGGTCACCTTTTGTCATCATAATGCAAATGTGTCGTGCAAAAGAGTGGAGAGGTAACTTCGATTGCAATTAATAATCTTTTCAATATATTTGTTCAAGCATTTGTTTTATACTAATTTTCTAATAATTGTCTAATAATTTTCTAATAGTTTTTTAATGTGTAATTTATAATTTATATTTTTCTATTGGTTTATTGTAAGAACAATACAATTCAATGTATGTAAATCGATATATAAAAAAAGTTGTACGATAATTAAAGTAGCGTACATTCACATCATTCTGCCAATCTCATGCAAAAATAACAATAATAATAATAAAAATTGTAGAACATATACAATGAAATCGCATACGAGTTTCGAATTTCTGTGTGAAAATTTCAAATCGAATACAAAAGGTTTAATCTTTGTATAAAATACAATCTAATATGTTTTTGTTTTTACAAAAATCTACTTTTCGTTATCAAAATTGCAGATCGAGCACAAAAAAAATCAACCTGGGTATCAAAAGTCGAGTTAAAATGAGAAGTTTTTTTTTTTTTAAAAAAATAAAATTATTATTTTTTCTGAAAAGTGACGACCGCACACGAAACATTGCATTTTGTTGAAAACTGATAAACGATCTAACAAAATCGTACAAACATATGAAATCAAAATAATTATAATTCGTAAAAAAAAATAGGAATACATAATACAAATATAAACTATAAATATATTAACTAATTACATAATTTCAGTGTGCTAATTCAAAATCGGAAATTATACTTGAGCTAGAAAGCATAACTAAGTAAGAAAATCGAATTTCATGTCTTAAATTCAACAAGAATCGAAAATTTCGAAGATGAAACATGAGGAGAGGAAAGAGTGAAGCGGCGCAAATGGCAAGCCTAAACCTAATGCCGACAAAATGCTATTATAGGGCCGATTTCGCACGTGCATTTCGGTTAATTATTGTCAACCGTTCGATCTTTTTTTTTTTAACTGAATTGTATTTGGGCTCTCTAATAGTGGGTCGTTTGCAATAAAAAAAAAAAAGATATTACACCATGTACAATATATATCACTTTTTGCAAAATTATCACATGTATAACATTAATTACAAAATTACTAGATATATAAAAAATAATTAATTTAAGCATGCAATTAACTGATGTCATGATCGTTCC